TAAAATCTGTACTATAAAATATACTTAATGCAAATGACTTTACTTTATAGTTTTCTTTCATTGCTCTGAGACTTCAATGTGATTTGAATTTTTTTGTAGTATTGCAGCATGGGTAGAAAAATATTTTTTTTATTTGAAGAGCTTATAGAGCCAGTTCCGTATAGTGGTTAAGGCATCTGACTAGAAACTGGGAGACCGGGAGTTCTAATCCTACCTTTAGCACAAAACCAGCAGGTAACCTTGGACCACATACTCAGTCCTGAGAAGTAGGCAATGCAGATCACTTCAAAAAATCTTGATGAGAAAAGTGCAGGGACTCATTTAGCACAAAACCAGCAGGTAACCTTGGACCACACACTGAAGCAGTAGGCGGATTCCAGAAGATGGTAGAGGACATGAAGGCCTGGAGGAACGTTGTCCATGGGGTCACGATGGGTCAGACACGACTTCGCAACTAACAACAACAACAAAGAGTCAACATTGACTTGATGGCACCAGAAAAAACAACAACCCTGCCACATTCAGTCAACTCTGAGTAAATTACCCCAAATTTATTTATCTGGTTAAGATTAGAAAAATAGAAAAAAAGTCAATATTGCATACATATGTCAATGCATAATCAAATAAATCTAAAAATCATACATTATTTAACCATGACTACCAAAGTAAAATCAACTAATAAGTAGAGAAACAGTCTCAGCAACTCTGCTTCCCAGACCTGATAAAACAACCAACTTCTAAAAGTCAGGAAGGAGCTAGGCCACTCAAATATCTGGAGGGATACTATTTCACAGGAGGGAGGCAACAATTTGAAAGGTGTTTTTTGGCATCTATGGATCACAGTCTCTAAATAAGGGTACAGGTAGAAACTCATCTTATTGGATCTTGTCAAGCAGGCAGAAGACATTGGGAGAAGGTTTTCCAACTGTATTCAGGCTCTGGACCATGAAGGGTTTTACATGTAGCAGTATCTTGAATAGCACCTGAAAATCTAGTGGTAACCAATGACACTCTCGAAGAAGAGGTGTTATACAGCACACCCATTACTAATTGAGCTGAGTTGGAGAACTTTTACTGAAAACTGTTCTGATGAACAATATACTTCTAAATTCTGAAATGTAGAACATGATTGTTTTGGTTTATGTAAGATGGAGGACATTAATATAATTTTAAGACTAGAAATACTGCAACATCTTGGCATGGAGAAAAATTACTATTGAGAATTTATATGCATTGTTCTCTAGTTCTATTCTATTGTCTGTTGCTATTGTACTTACACCTTTGCAATAATGATATACCACAGAGGTCTCCAACCTTTTTGATTTGGCAACACGGAAAGGGAGGCAGGCACTGCTACGTGTGTGTGTGTGCAAATGGGCCATGTGTGAGCACATGCACACATGCAAAAGGCCACATGCGAGCGCATGCACACATGCAAAAGGCCACATGCGAGCGCATGCACACATGCAAACAGCTGCACGCGACCGCATGCGCAAATGTAAAAAGGGCTGTGCGATGGTGAGTGCTGCAAATGGGGTGGTGCTAGTGCTGGTGTGACGCTATGGGCGACACTAGCACCAGTGGGACGCTTAGAGGCATGGGGCACTAGCACCAGCAGGATGCTCGGGGCGGTGCTAGCGCCGGTGGGAAGCTCGGGGGTGGGGTGACCCTAGTGCTTGTGGGATGCTCGGAGCGGCGCTAGTGCCAGTGGGACACTTGGGGTCGGGGCGGTGCTAGCACTGGCAGGATGCTCGGGGCGGTGCTAGTGCTGGTGGGATGCTTGGGGTAGGGTGGTGCTAGCGCCGGCAGGATGCTTGGGGTGGTGCTAGCGTGAGTGTGGGGGTGTGAGTGCACGCGCATGTGGGCGTGCACTGTCCATCCCTTCAGGCTGCCCGGTGGCCAAGCGTTCGTGGCCCGGTAGTGGACCTGGCCCACAGGTTGGGGACCCCTGATATACCATAATGCTAACAAATAATAAAAAAGAAAAGGCATTTACATAACATACATAGGTTGCAATTAATGAATCATCTTTCCTGTCGACTACTCATTGTTTCTGAGGCAGTCATTAAGGTCTGACAGTACAATATAGTCTGGTATATTATACTTAATTTAATTACAGTTGATAAATCTTATTAATTTGGGTTCATATTTTTTAAAAAATCTCAAGTATGATGTGTGCAAGTGCTCATAGATTTGTTTTATTTATTATAGATATATTCTGTTTTTAAAAAACATTCCCAAGGCGTATGTATATATTATAATATGAGCTTAGTGTAGTATAATAGTTTATAGGTCCCTTTCATTCAATTGTATTCATTCATTTATTCATCTAATAAAGCTCCCATGGAAATCACAGAATGAAATCTATAATTTAAATGTAATATATAACAGTATTTACAATATAGCTTAAAATAGTAACAAATTATAAAAAGAGTTTATAATAGCTACTACATTGAACTTATCTCCAAGATGCAACTTTAAAATAAAGATGATCAGTAAGAGCTATGGAAAGTTGAATAGACTGAGATTTTAAAAATCCATTGGGCCTGAAAAATCAATAACATAGATACCTGAAGGACTCACAGGAAAGGCATTCCAAAATTGTTAGTTAATCAATAAAAACCTTGCTCATAGCTCCTCAACTAGCTATGAGCAAGGTTTTTATTGATTAACTAACAATTTTGGACATGATATCTCTACTGAATGTGAAGACTGTTTTGGCAGGTCTTCTGTTTGTGGAACATGAGTAGGAAAGTATAGAAAACTGTAGCTTTCCAATTTAGTTGCTTTAATTCATAAAGAACGTCACAAGTTAAAAGTTAGTCTTAGCCTTGAAAAAAACCAGGAGTCATTGATGATTGTACAATAATGATGGAATGTTTGCAATACCTAATATTAGTACTTCTACTAATGTATCTTCTGCTAATTGAAGTTTCATAGCTTCCTAGTTTCACCCACCAGAAAGTTTTCCACGATCCTCCAAGAGCCAACAATTTCTTATATTCTGTGTGTATCAAATATTATTTCCTTTACCTTTTAATATTTTACCACTTATAATTTAGAGAAGTTAAAATTAGTAATGTGACAGTTGTATTAGATATGATCTTTATGCTTTCTGGCTGCTTTTGTGAGAAAAGTGTAAGTCTTTCAAGTTTTAAGATTGTTCTGAGATCATTTTTGTCATTTTAGGAAAACAAATAATTGTTGAGCTAATGATTCATCATAGCTAGAGTTTGAATAAAAATTGAACCAGTTTTCAAATTAGTACTTATGATTAGTGATTCAATATCAGTACACAAATAAGATAAGAATATTTATGACTTATTTTAATGCAAAGGCTTCTTTGGTACCTTATAATCTACATTATAAGTAAACTTGCCAAGCCACAATGTAACATTTTGAAGTCAATGAAGATGTTTTTAATCTACTGGAATTTTAAAACCTAAAATTCCTTGGATTGTTTCTCTCTGTAAGCTATAGCGTTATATTTTACTTGCTTAACTTTTTAATGACTTTAGAGCATTGAATTATTTGAATGCTACCCTGTAAGTATTTGTGCTAAAGATGTATATTTCACAAACCAATTCTCAGACTTGGTATATGACTCTTTATTATTATTATTTATTGAATTTATTATTTCAATAATAGAAGAAGTATCTAATATTTTGTTTATACTATGTTTTCCCCAAAATAAGACCCGGTCTTATTTTTTTTAATTATTATTTTTGCCTTCCAAAGAGGCACCAGGTCTTATTTTTTTGGGGGGGGACATCTTTTCCGCTCACCTCGCGGCGGCAGCATTGACACCCTGTCTAGCTGGCCCACTTCATTCTGCAACTGAGAATGGAGCTCAGGCCTGCATTTCGCAGTCAGAGGCCTTTCTGGAAGGCCTGTGCAGCCAAGAACTGAGCTACGGATTGAATCCGTAGATGGAGATGTTTAAGAAGATATTGGGCAACCATTTATCTGAAATTGTATAGGGTTGCTTGCTGGAGCAGGGGGTTGGACCTAGGTCCCTTCCAACTCTGTTATTCTGTTAAATTGTGCACACAAATTGAGGTCTACCTATAATGTGATGGGAAAGGGATACATATCACATTAGGATCATGAAAGAAGATATATCATGCTTTGGGAGGCAACAATTTAATTTCTTATTGCAAACTTTAAAGGTTTTGTTTCTCAGTTAATGGAATGAAGGAATAGGTTTTCTCTCTAATACAAAATTGAGTGTGTCTTTTTTTTGGTTCTCATATTAATTTAACACAATTATTTAAGCTGCTCAGTTACTAATGATACATTACTATAATTATTGAAAATGTTCAAAATAAAAATCTTAACTAATAGGATGCTGATATTCACAATAGTATTAAAAAAAACCCTAACCCCAAGGCCATGAAGAAAAATCCAAATCCAAATAGGCATTACTTCATTTGGTCAATTGCATTTTGCAAAATCATTGAGATCTTTCCAGAGTCAAGAAATTTGACAAAGACATGGTTATAAAAGTGGAAGCAAAGAAAAATGTATTAATGACAAACTACTGTTAACACTGCTTATTAAACTATATAAATGTGTGATCACTAGACTTTCTGTATTACCTGTTTAAGTTTTTTATTTCTATTCTGTTGATCATTGTTCTAACTATCAAAACAGGAAAAGTAAATTGTAGAACAAGTTCTTACCTATAGAATACAACTGGTCTTTTGTGAAAAGGTAATAATTTGCTTCCATCATTTTTATCGCATTTTATGTACCTGCTGAAAATTCTTAATATTTATAAATAGGAAGAGAATTGTTAAAATCTGTTACTGTCAGTCAATGATGTTATTATCTTGATATTCTATGGTGGGTTATGAAAATAAGGAATTTTAGTTTCCAAACAAGGTAATTGAGAAAATACTAAAACTGTTGTAAGGATGTTTTAATATTTTCTTTATGCTTTTTAGAGATTTGGTCTTGCTGTGACAAATAATGTAGAATTACCACCTGCTGAACCAAAAATGTACCAATTGGATATTACATTAAGACGAGGTACTAACTTAGCAGCTCGTGATCGAAGAGGTAAGAGTATGCCTCCAAAAATGTTCTAATATAGTTAGTTTCCTAAAAACTGAGATGAGTTTGATAAATAGTAATACTGCTATTACATTACTTTATATATTTTGTAATGATAACTTTCCCCTTAACATAAGGATTTTGTTGGTTTTAAAATATTGTTTAGCGACTTATAAAATAGATGGCTAGAGCAGATAGTAAATTTGTATCAAAGATATTTCTCTTATATCTGGGTTTTTCAAATTTTAGAAGGCAATGCACTTTTTTCCCCCAGACCTTTTTTTCTGGCCCCAGAATGGAAAGACATATTTTTAAAAACATGAGCAAAAGAATACATATTCACTCTCTGGCTTGGTCCTGGATTCGGAACCATGCGTTGGTAATTGGACTGTAATCCCAGCTAAAGGGCAGAAGAACCAGTATTGTCTGCCAGTTAATTGTTGAGTATGTTCAAGTAATTGTTTTGCGACTAGATGCATACACACTTTTGATGATGTGTTGGTATCTATTGTGTTGGAATATGTTATATTTCGATAGTTGAATATAGGTCAGATTTGTGATAAATGGAGATTAGAAACAGGATAGTTTACCACTGAAGCAAACATTTCTTTTTAGATCACTGTGTGCTCTGCTTTGTCAGTTTAATACCAATTGTGTGAGTCTTCGAATGGATATGGGAAGAATAGAATCAAAGAGACAAAATATGAGAAGAATTTTTAGGCAGCATTTGGCTGGCTGTTATAATTGAAAAACTGGAATATGAATCGTAAAATGTGTAGAGACTCATATTAGCATTCTTGTGTTCTTTTGAAGTTTCTGGATGTCATTGAGAGTTTATACAAATGAAAAGTCAGATTATATATGTAATAATAAATAAGTCATCTAAGCAAAATTATTCTGCAAGTTATGTGATAAATTATGATTAAATTATGAATCAGCACTCTAATTCACCCATTTCTAATGAATAAAATTTGCTGTTTCAATCTGTAGTCTTGTGAATTGGTTGTTGGAGAAGATCAGGACATATAATTATGAAGAAGCTAAAATTTTGCTCAGTAACATTGTCAGAATGATAGTTCTGAGAATCATAAATGATTCCATGTATTACACTGAGTACTGTATATACAAACTTAGAATTATTAATAGAAGAAATTAAGAAAATTATAGCAATATGTTTTCATTAAGCAAGGTTAATAATCAGTAACATGATTTCTCTTGAAGAATGAATTCTACAACAAAATGCTATAAAGACCATTTTAAAACAGACTAGAAAGTAAGGTTACAAACTAGTGAATATTTTAACTCTATACAAAAGGTAGATTTGTTGTTTCAAAAACTTTATCTAAAAATTATTTCAACAGAATTCAGCAAGATAGTAGTCATATAAATACCTTGGACAGAAGTGATGTAGTCTAAATAGTTTCTCAAAATAATTGACCTGTTATTTGTTTATTTCTTTTCTGTATTTCATGGAAATTGATACGTAAGGTGGCAGAGCATTTGATTCCTATGTATTGAAGAGAAAGTTCAGTAACTATGCCATCAGTGGAAGTGTACAAATGATGTAGGCAAAGCTGAAGAAAAAATAGCTGGTGCTGCTTATAATGCTTCAAGGTTCTTACAGAACAATAATTATCCCCATTATTTATCTTATTCATTGATTTGACACACAACACATACAATAAATAATATTGTTCTAAATAATATTGTGGTGGTAAGTGAAGGATTACCTGTGTGCAACCTAACCAATTCTCCTTGATTTGCATAAGGATTTCAAATTCTCTCACTCGTCTTAACCTTCCTCCTTCATTCTTAAGATCGAATTTTATTCTTCCAGCAATATGTAAATACATCAACCATGGTATATTTCAGCTTATGCTGAATAATTCTTGCTAATGTGTTTAATCCATGATTTATGGACAGCAGTTAACAGGACTAGATCTAATATTGACTATAGGATTATGTTTTATGAGCCCATGATTTGTGTAGGTTTGTAACTGAGGCTCAAAAGAAAGATTTTTGCTGTCATACTGCCACCATGTGCTCAGCAAGGACTGTTGCTGTTATAATTGCTTTCAGGCTTTTTTAAATAGTGAGATTAAAAAATACTTAAAATATCAATTTTTAAATAAAGTAATAATTGTCTTATTAGAATATAGGATAAAAAAGCCTTAAATATTTCAATAAATATTAGAAGTCTGCTTGAAACATTGTTTACTCAGACAACTGACTTGGCATATTTGCGTTTTTAATTAAAATGGAAATGAATGAAATATGTTAAACACAGGTTATATTTGTTACGGACAAACTTATTCAGCTTTATATTTACATGGCATGATACATTTAATAGTAAATATTGATTAAATCACATCAGTGTAATTTTGTTTCTAAATTTCATTTGCCTTCTAAATTATGCATTCAAATACATGTCTATACACTTTTGCTCATGTGCACATTTTATTGCAGGATTAAATGTTATAATTGGCTATTTAAATTCTATGATAAATTCTGAATCCAGACAGAATATTTTAAAGAGAGTATTGAGATACTTTTCATGTAAAGTTATTCAGAGATCAGGGGATAATTTAACAGATGGCGAATAAACGCACAGTTTTAAATTCAATGTAGAACAAATTCAAATATTAAACTACTGCTTCCATGTTTTTTTATTATTTGATCTGGAATTTATCTCAAATATTTGTTTCTGTTGCATAATGTTTACAATCTTTTTAGTTATTGAGAAAGAGGTTAATAAAGGTATTTCCAGTGTTTGGCAAGATAGAGCATTAGTCTGAATTTGACTTTGTTTTTACTTAACCTGATTATACACTGGAAGATAATTTTGCCTTGTCATTGCCTAATGAAATATTACAAACATATAAATTGTATTTATGGAATGATTTTGAATAAGTGAAAATGCATTCCATGTTGCTCTTATTCACAGTAGTGTGCATTATGCATGCAGTACTTTAAAGTAAAATAGAAATAAAAACACTTCTGAATGTCATCTTTACAACCATGAAAAACTATTTAATATAAAATAGTAGATGTTTTATTCTAGGAATTGCATATTTTGCTTTAAGAATTAATATATGAGGTCTTACTTTATTCTCTTTGTCAGGGGTATTTTTAAGTGCTAATTTTAAAGAAACTATATAAAAGCAATGATATAGTTTCATGATCTACCATATATAGAACCTACATATATAACAAAGCAAGGAAAAAATAATAAATAAATAATATACATATGGTAACAACCAACACATTAGAATTATCAAATCTTGAGTTTCAAAGGAAATAAATGTATAGAATTCATCCAATCTCACTCTTATTTTAATCTTTTAAAAACATTTGTTACTCCAGTCATCTAAAAAGAGAAAACTAGCTGCTTATTTTTGTTGTATTTTAAATTTATGAGCTCCCAAGAACATCTAGTTTTCATATATAACCTTAACTTTTGCTTCAGGAACAAGTGATCCATATGTGAAGTTTAAACTTGGTGGAAAAGAAATCTTTAGAAGTAAAACAATCAGTAAGAATCTTAATCCTGTTTGGGAGGAAAGAACTTCCATTTTTATTGAACACTTAAGGGAACAACTGTATATAAAGGTAAGTCATATCCAGTTCTCCTTAAAAATAGCAATAATAGTACATCTTACAAATCTCAGAGCTTAATCTTAACAGAAATATTGTTAAAGGACACAGTACAACATCCTTATTAAAATTGTAATATTCATCAAAATATTCCAGAACACAACAAAATAAAGTCTTCATAACTTTGATTATTGTTTGAGAAATTATCCAAGCCAGAAAAAGAAATAGTAAAATAGAACTTTACATGTGTATTTTATAAAAATGAGTACATGAACTTTGGGACCAATTAGTTTGCAGTATCGCCTAATAATTGCATGCCTCATGTATCTATTTGTGTAAACATTGAGTTTTTAAGTTTATGAAATCTGTTTTTATTAATAAAAATGTTATTTGTTCATCTTAGGTTTTTGATTATGATTTTGGACTTCAAGATGATTTTATGGGGTCAGCTTTTTTGGACCTGAATTCCCTAGAACAAAATAGGTATCATTTTATGAAACTCATTGAATTTCATGATGTATTTCTTTCTATTTCAATGTGACTAGGGATACAGAGAAAGAAAGAAAAAAGAAGTTGAATGCTGCACTACCAATACTAGTTAAAATAAAAGTACTAGAGTTGAATTATCACAAATTTATGAAAAGAGAACTAGGAAGCCTTGTCTTACCTTTCCCTCCTCATCTACTTTTCTTTCTGTTTTACATCTTTTAAACTACTTTGGGAGCATTTCAAACTGGAAGGGTATAATGTTTGAACTTAGAAGATCAGCTATAGTGGGGTCTCCATATTTGTGATGGTATATGTCCATCATATTCTCNTTCTCGTCCAAATGGCCCCAGATATCTTCTACATATGTCTGAACACTGACAGAGATAGAGGAAACAGGCGATTGTGGGGAGTTGAAGTGGAGGTAGTCCCTTAGCTTGGAACAACAAGGCTTGGGGCTGGGAAGGACCAAGCTGGGAATGGCTTGGATCATGTTGGGTCCTTGGCTAATGACCAGTAGAATTCAGTTAAGAGAATTGCTGGGATTGCCATTGTTAAGCAATGCAGTCACATGATGTCGTGCTTTGTGACTGCATCAGTGACATAAATTCTGGTCCCAGTTGCCATTGTAACTCAACAACCACCTGTAATATTTACATTGCTTTTACTAAATATGAAAACATATCCAAACTTTCAAGTGTTTATTAAAAGTTTGTACTTTTAAACAAAGTTTCTTATCCAGGATAATGTGAACATTGTGTTCCTGTCATTTTAAGATGTCAGACAGTCCTTGGTATATATTAAGAGCCTTATCCATAAGTTTACAAAAATCCCTGGACTTGTTCTTGCTTTACATTCCTCATTGTTTATTTAATGAAGGCGATAGAAAGCAAAACATAATTCATGAGTTCTTAAACTCTTTGTCCTGAGGTAGGCAGTCTGTAAAAGCATGATTTTAGTGTTTTCATTTTTCTATTGACCTGTTTTTCTAGGCCTGTTGATGTTATATTGAGTCTGAAGGACTCACATTATCCAGACCAAGCTCTTGGGACTATATTGTTAAACGTGTTGCTGACCCCAAAAGAGCAGCAGAGGGAAGGGGTAAGTCTATGCTAAATGTCAGATAAGCAAAACGTCTTAAGTTTCTAACTGGCCTATAAATGTCTCAACTTGTATCTGTTGGAGAAGATAATTAAAAAAGAGTGGTTTTTTTCTGAGTGTGTATATAAATGAATATATGCATTTGAACACCACACACCTACATTCTAAACATTTACAGCTAGTGATGAGCTTTTGTGATGGATTTGACTACAACATAATTGTAATGAGATGTTGATAGAACAGAATATATAATTAATATAGAATGTATTTCATACAAATTTTGTCAAATTTGTCCAAGTCAAATTTAGGATTTTGCTTTCAAGGTCAATTTACAATGAAAGTTGCCATTAAAGAAACAAATACTGAACAATTTGAGAAAAAGAATGAAATGCCTCACCATTTTTTGAATGTACTGTAACATTCCAAAAAAAGAGGCCAGAAGCAATAATTGCTTCATTAAGAATTGGTAGCGACCTAGTCTCAAGCTTGGAATAAAAAAAAAAATAACACCAAATTTTCCTTGTTCAAGTATTCGTAAGTAAGTACCTTTAAACTGGTATGTCAGAAAAACATTATTTGAAAATATGAGTCCAACTATTCTCTTCCTAGTTAATATTATTTAATATTTTTATTACTTCTCCAGGAGAGAGAACTAACAAAAGTCTGAGGCACGGTCCAGAAAAATTTCCAAAAGTTGTTACCAAATTAAAATCTGTAGTATAACAGAATGAGGGGAAGTTATTAAATATGTAACTGAGTTACATTTAAATGGAATCAGATTTCTACTCTGCCTCACTCACAGTTTTTTCTAATGAGGCATGAAAATGCTAAGCGCAGCCCTTCATCTAGATTCAAGGCAATTCTGTCTACTATTCTGTTCCACTCCCACAATCATAAAGGTACAGGATTAATTAGGTTGAGAGATAATGAGCAGCTCAAAGCCACCTACTGAGGCTATGTACTTGAATGTGGAGTCTGGGTCATCCTAATCGTAATTCAGTATCCTAATTTCTGTACCATTGTATCATTCTCACAATTGTGAATAGAATATAGAATAATAACTTTATTGTCACTTTGAATGTACACTAATTGGCAAATTCATTGCATACAGCTCTCAAAGGGTCATCACTACATAAATATGACAAAAGTAAATAAATAAATAAATAAATAAATAAATACAGAATTATGCATATGCCCACATATATTATATGACACAGAGAAACAACAGTCTAGTTCGAGTTATGTATACATGTGCATGGTGAGAAAAACGAATGTTGTGAGTTTATCCTACAAATGGCATAGGGACAAAGCTATTACAGAATCGGGTAGTCCTGCTAGCAATACTTTTAAACCTCCTCCCAGAGGGGAGCAACAGAAATAGACCGTAAAGTGGGTGTGTGGGGTCTCTAATAATGCTTTGAGCTCTAAGCACATAGCACTTATAAGCAGCATCCTGGAAACCAGGAAGCGAGCTTCCTATGATCTTCTTGATTCTCCTTATCATTCTCTGTATGGACTTTCTATCTGAGGCACTGCTGCTTCCAAATCAGACAGTGATGCAGTTTGTTAAAATGCTTTCAATCGTGCCTCTGTAAAAAGTGGCCAGGACAGAAGGAGAAAGATGTGTTCTCCTCATCCGATGCAGGAAATGCAGACACTGGTTTGCACGCTTCACTAAGGAAGATGTGTGGGAGACCAATTCAGATTGTTAGTTATCTGCACGCCCTAGATACTTAATACTGTTGACCACCTCTACAGCTGCATTCTTGATACTGAGTGGAGTATGACTATGCCGTCTTTCTAAAATCTACAGTGGTCTCCTTTGTTTTATCAACATTTAGAATTTTAGAAAAGAAAAAATGGTTATCGAATGTCATTCTTTGTTATCTGTGATATAATTAGTAGATATCTACCACTGTAGACTTCATATAATTATACTTTTCAAATTAGTCAGCTTTTTTTGTTAACAGTAATTTGGAATTAAAAAGTTACGGTATGGAAGCATTTTCATCAGATATTTATCCTATATGACACATTGTCAAAACAAATTTTATTTTAATTACCTTACACAACTATCCAGTCATACTGCAATGGTAACTTGAAAAGTAGGATAGGATAAAAATATTGAATTAAATTGTGAGTTTGTAGTGCTTTAAAAATTTAATAACATGCATCTCATATAATGTAAAATGCCTAGTAGCCAATACATGGTTTCCTGGGACATAAAGAATCTTGATGTAGACCATATTATGATGCATAATATGATAGAATGGTTAAATGCTAATTTATTGTTGGATTAAAAGTAGCTTTCATTGAAAAAGGGTTAATTAAAATTAATATGCTCTGTATATGTTCATAGAAACACATTGATTAAAATTTATTTAAGTGTAAGTGTTCATAAATTAATGAAACTTCAGATGGATTAACTTCAAATCCATCCTAATAAATACATGATAAAGTATTTTGGAAAATTGCAATATCAAGAACATGTTACAGATAATGTTTTTATGAGTATGTCTCTGGTCATAAAAGCAAACGAGTAAGACTTTCAATTAAAGGGAATGGAATGGGATTGTTGATGTGTTAGATTAGGAATTAGGAATTGTTAATGAGGGAGTTTTAATGAGTGCTAAAAAGGACAGCAGAAACATTCCATTTGGCTAATGGAGGAGCTGAAAAAAACTATTTTTTGTTTGCTCTACTACACCAGCAGTATTTTAAGTCTCATAGTTTAAGAGACGTACCATGCTTTCAAAATGTTTTTAATTTATTTTAACAATTAAAAATAATTTAAAACTTTTCTATATTTGGGGGCATATGCTTAGATTCTTCATGTGCTCTCCATGATTCACATATATCATGAGAACATGCAGTCTTCTAGAACTTACAGAATTTATTGGTGCAAAATCTTCATAGCATGGATGGCTACACGCAACTCTTGTTGAATCTCTTCAGTTTGTTTCAATTTCTGCAGTGAATACGTATAGTACATTCATTCTCACAGCTGGTCGATGCTTCTAGAATTCTCACTTCTCTTTACCTTGTTCTACTTTAATTTTAATTTAATTTAATGTTTAAAGAAACCCTTGCTCTTCCAGATTTTAATGCAAGAGGCTTCATGTACCTCTTCAGGTCTTTTGTAATTGACACTACTTGTGTAATGATGTTGTGATCACAATTACACAAATGATATGATTTGCATCTGTTTACATAATTTGCATAGTAGCATTAGTCAAATGATGTTTTAGTGTAATACCAGCATCATGCTGCCTGCTGTTATTTTCCTCACGATATCATCAAGTGATGTAATCCATTTCATTTGTGTAATGTCATGTAAATTAAGTAAGTGATATGATTTGCATTACTATGATAATGTAGGTTTTAAATTTATTCAACTTATTTCCAAAACTTCTCCCAATTCGTTAAAACTGGTATTTTTCAAGCATGAGCAATTTTTGGTCAAAGGATACAAACCCTTGTACAGATAATTCTTGCTTAACATTCATCCATTCAGAATTATGACCATTCTGAACAAAGAGTATTTACAACTAGTACTTCTAGTAGTAGCCATGGTAGCATCCCTGCAGTCACATGTTCATGATTCAGATGCCTGGCAACCGGCTCCTAATTATGACTTTGCAAAATCTTGCAGCACACGATTGCATTTGTAACCTTAACCACAACTTCCAACAAGCAAAGTCAAAAGGAAACTGGCAGAAGATTGCAAATGATGATTACATGATCCTGAGATGCTATGACCTTGTGAGATTTGCTTAATGAGCACAACTGCAACTGCTGAAAGTGCTATCATAAATCAGTACAGTCATATGACACTTTATGATTTTATTTATTTAAAATAAATAATAAATATAAATATAGGGCGGGAAGAGGAACGCCTGAGTCCCGCCGATTGTTGGTCTATTTTTACGTTGAGGGTTTTGATGTCTAAATTTTTGTATTAATTTTTGTTTATAATTATTAACCAGATTATCAAATTTTAATGAAATTTTGGGGGTAATTTTTAAAAGGGGATCCGGTCAGCCGCAAGCTGGACTGATCACATAGAGTTCCCAATGATCACATAGAGTTCCCAATCCCAATTACTATTGTTGAGTGAGGACTACCTGTATATCCTTTTTTAAAAAAACTTTGTTTCTATTTCTCTGACGGCTCCATTCTGCTGTATTAAATTTCATATACTTGGATGGGCACAGCTATTGCTTTATTAGCATTGAGAGAGGACTTATAATAAACTTTTGTAAGCACCAATATAATTTCTCTTTTTGCCTATGAATTTTCCCTTGGAGTCAAACAGTGGTGGGAAATGCTGAAGTTATAATAGTGTCTTGTCATGAGGTGTTTCATCAACCCTCCTTAGATCAGGCTTTGCCAGAGGTAGATCTGGTATTGCAAACGCCTAACAAAGAAATACAGAGAGCAACCAACTATATCCCGCTCTTATATCTTTGACTTAAAGCCTTTTCTACTCAACCCTCAAAGATCCAGGTAACAGACAAGGTAACAACCAAAGACATAATTGAAGAGGAATTCTGAAATATGATAGCAAGATTAATCTGTGAGAAAACTAGATCAGACAAGGACTATCAAGATTAAATAAAAGTTTGGTTCATTTAACTGCTGCTAGAACAACAATGTAGTTGTGATAATCTTTTGTCAGTTCTTTCTGTGAAGATTTATTTTTTTATTGCTGCCTTAAATTCTGATGTCTTTGTGTTTGGGTTATATTCTCTTGCTGCTTACCCTTATATACCATAAATCTGTCTGATCAAAATGTTACAAGTTTGGGCTGGATTTAGGATTTTGAAGAATAGCCTATTGTTCTAATTGTTCACATATACTAATACTTGTTGCAAAACCAGGATGCTCTTTTCTTCATCCAACATTTCTACAATGTTTGAAAAGTGGCTGGGGGCTTCTAGTGCATCCTTTGGGAATTCCCTGGATTCTGCAATTTTGTTGTTGGCACAAGGAAAAAAACTTTGTTAATCATCGTTTGCTAAATTTGCTAACATACACATCCCACCAAAAACTATGACCAAGATTAAATAAGAAAACAAAAAGACGTCTACTCCAACTACTGGGCCCTGTACTTGTGGATCTTTTACCCTGTCAGTTTCCTCCATTTTCAATCCTGCCTACAATTCTATTGTCCATTCAGATTTGGGTCTCAATTTTAAAAGAAGAAATTTGTAATTGAAGTCTACCAAGATCTTGTTCTCTACATCAGAAACAAAGCTCTTCTCTTCCTCCATCTCAGGATTTTAATGATAAAAGGAAAGAAATCCATTATGTTGATCCTGCTTTTGGGAAATAACAGTCCCTGGTTTCTCTTGGTTCCGTGACCTCTTGTTAACTGTTGTTTTCTACCATGGCTGAATATTGTCCTACGCATGAAGCCTTTATTGGTCTTGATTAATACATATCAGCTCACTGGAGTAGCCCTTTGTACTGTATTACTAAAAAAATGCAGGTTCAGATATCAGCTCTGATTTATACTTGTTCTTCATCCAGGCTTCATGACTATAATCTTAACTACAGTTATTATTTGTAAGAAAAACTCCCTAAATCAAGAGACTCCTGTAGTATCACTTTTGTATATCTCTTTGATTTTGGGATATTTTTCAGTGTAGCTTTCACACATGAGCTCCACTGTGTGCATACCTTTGCTAAGATCATTCTCCACTATCAGGAAATCATTCTTCTATCTTCAGATGCTATTCAACACTCAGTCTTCCAACTGCTCTAAGTTTTGGGATGCTACTTGGGGAACCTAGTTGATATTAGGCGCATAGCAACATATCATCAAAGTAGAACTTTCGATAGTTTGGGCCTTTGAAAAGCAATGCCATGGTAGTTTGTTATATTCACAAAAAAAGGTGGTACCACCTTTTGCAGCTCCACTGAAATTATCTTATTGTAATAGGCATGCCAAAAGACAGCTGTGTCCATGAAGTCTTTCAGACCTGACTATCAAATTAGTGCTAAGGCATTTTCTAAAAAAAATCCTTTTTTAAAAAAACTAAGCATAATAAAATAGTGCCTGAATTTTTTAAATTGTTTTTTAAATAATCTAATGCAAATAAACACACCAATTATTTAATAAGCAAATAGCAATAGCACTTCACAGTGCTTTACAGCACTCTTTAAGCCAGAGGTCACCAACCTTTCTCGGTTGGCGGACTGGAGGGAAAGGGAGGGGGAAGTATTTTAAACACTTGCATCAACCTTGAGCTGGTCAGGATAGAAGGAACTGAACTCCTTACAATGTGAGTAGAGTTATCCTGCAATACTGTACTCTAACCAGTGCGCCACCACAGCTCATCTGTTCAAAACTGACCTTTCCTTGTCTGTGGATGCCTATCATAAGTACTTGTTATATTGGAGATTCCTCTCATATTGCTGAGTGAGGTCTTGAATTTCTATATATCTTGTGCTCTGTGCAAGAGTATCATGAACTAAGATGTTCCTACTTCCAGATAATTTTCATTTCTTGCTCTTTTTGAGATATTCAATACATCTGTAGGTTATCATGTAAAATTTCTTTTCTTCATTAAATAATTGGAGCTTAAATCGTAATTGTGTTTCAGTGTGAACGTTTGTGGCTGTTTGATTTTTGTCTTTAACTTGTCTGATGTTTTGTCATGTGCATTACTTATTTAGAAGACAGTTGGCCTCTCTATACAACAAGTAAAAGGTGATTAAAACACTCTATTTTATTTGCAGACAATGCTAATGAGGAAGAGTTGGAAAAGAACAAGTAAGGTAATTCTTGGCATGTAGCCTTGAAATAACTGATATTTTATAATTTATCACGTTGAATTTCAGGCTGTGACATGTAGCTTATTCTCTGTAAATTTTATTATTTTATTATTCTCTGTTGTATAATCATGACAATGGAATGGTCCTTTAATTACTAAAAATCTTTTATATATACTTTAGTAAAAGCTGATATACAGAGCTAGGTTGGTCCAGTAGTTAAGGCTAGAAACCAAATTAGAAACCTGATGACTATTTTTAGTCCTGCCTTGGCCCAACTCTCTCTTGGCCCAACTCACCTCACAGGGTGTTGTGAGGAAAATAGGACAAGGAAGGAGTATTAGGTATGTTCGCCACCTTGAGATATTTAGAAAAAATAATAAAGGTAGAAATGCACCTAAGTGTAGTCAAGACAGGGTATATATCAGTATCTATTCATATATTATACATATGTATGTAATTTCTATTTATATATTACATATATAATAATCATTATGACAATGTGGCAGACAAATCTAAAAAATGTGAAGTATAACGATAAAATAAAGACTTTCTTAAGCAAGTATATGAATATACGAATATATACATACTTTGGTCACTGCAGTTTTGGGAATGACAAAAGACACTACTTTAATAGGTAATATGAATGTTTCTATTTTGAGAAATAGAATATTTCTGTTCTTTTTTTAAATGCTGATATGCATGCAACTTTTGCTACATATAATTTAAAAGTAGATAAGAAGTATAGAATAGAGCTTTGTTCTCACTGCTTGCTACAAGCTCTAAGATGTTTTATATCCATTTGTCACTGTATTCATTATCTACCTCATATACTTCAATAGTTTTTTTTAAAACATATAAAATATTTATCCTAAGGTTGTTTTTTACAGTAAAATGCCTCCTTCAGTAGTGCTTTAGCTTCTTTTTAAGTTCACTATGCCTCATAAGATATTATTGCCTCCTCATTGTTATAGTGCTTCACTATATTTTCCCTCCTTCAAATCATAAACTGAAGTAAATACACAACAAAATCCCCTAATTTTTCATCATTCTGACACTAACATGATAAATAAATTGTTAATCACTTTAGAAACAATTGCAATTTTCAACCTGTATAGATACATAAGGTTACATTCTAGAACATTTTGCTTCTAGAATTCATAAATTCCATGCTAAAAATAAGGAACAAAAATCTAACACTGATTGTTGTTTGTTATCATTTGGTACAAGTTCATGTTGGAGTTCTTGTCTGTTAGCAATCTTACGCCATTTGGTCCTCTTTGTGTATGATATAGCTGTATTGAGAAGGTATGACTGAGGTATCTGACAATTGTTCCTAGATAGTTGCTGTTTCTTACCATTTCTTCTGATTATTTAATTTTTATTTGAGATCCAATTCTGGCGGTGACCACCCAGTAATTGTTGTCATTATTGAATTTGTAGAGATTTTTCTGCTTTTAGGTCTGATGCATAATCTTTCTTGAAATAAGAACAATAAAATACATGTTTGTTTCCAGCATTAGAAAAAAGATTCATAGCTAATTATCCATGAATAATTGTGCTGAGTCATACTTGGGTCATGAATGGGAGTAGCTGTGTGATTTAATACATTTAAGAAGAAATTTTCTTGTTCTTAAATTCAGTGTGCAGTTTCAACAGCTCTTTCTGCTTTTGCATTGACTTGTGAATAGTATGTGCTCTTTATAATATTGCTAAAGTTATACTTCCTTGCAAAGAGTATAAAATGTTTCCTTGACAGTTATGCCGTATTATCAGTTTAGGAATTCATCAGGATATCATCATGTACTTGTATTTTTTGAGCAAGTAATAAGACTTGGTAGATTACAATCTTGAGATAACCTGCAAAAATAATTTATGGCAGCTAAATATTTATGCATTTGAACTTCACAAATATCATTTCCAACATCTCAGAGGATTTATTTTGAACCACGTTTTGTTTTGCTGAAAAGTCACCTTTTCACAAAAGTCTTTCTTTTTACAATTTGTTTTCTTTTGTTTCAAATCTGTGTAGATTCCATTTTTCTTATGTACTGGATTTACTGTCAGGCTCCTCTTTTGTCCAATATTCAATTCAGTATTCAATATTAGATTAATTAGAATTTTAGCATCTACCTGATTATTTTTATTTAAATTGTTTATGGTTGCCCACTCCAAAAGACTCTGGATAATGTATAAAATAAGAAAATATAATAATAATAAATTATAAATAATTATAAATAATAAATAATAATAAAAAACATAAAACAACACAGACAGCCCAAAGTATACAGTTATAATAGCAACAGGAAGTGACCACAGCAGACCCAAAAGTATATTAATCTAGGCCTGGAAATAAATCCAGCTTTCCCAGAAGAGAAGGCAGAGTCCATATCTCCAGAAGGATCTGTTCCAAAAAGAGGGGGCAGTTACACTTCTTGGCTTAGGTACAATCTGTTCTTTGAACGATAGCTGCAAGTCAAGAACTCCAAGTTGCACAATGGGTTCAAATGGGAGAGTACTGCCCCATCAAAATCAAGAGTAGTAACATGCCCGATCTTGGAGGACCAAACAACTATAGCTAGTCACTCTTGTCAGGACTGAGCAAAGTATGTTCCACACCATCCAAACCTGAACAGCCTCCAGACACTGGGTCAGTCAACAACTTCAATAAAGGAGAAAATTTGTAGCTTAGGGTTCAAATGAGAGGTCCTTGGTGCTCTCTGAGCTTGGTTGTTTTCTTGTAGATGTTTCATTACCCAAACTATGTAACATAATCAGTGCTTATGATGGTGATGTTACCTAGTTTGGGTAATGAAACATCTGCAAGAAAGCAATCAAGCTCAGAGAGCACCGAGTACTCCTCATCAACAACTTCACCTGTGCAGTTTGGTTTGATATATAAAGCTGGATTTCATCAGCATACTGATGATACCTAAGCCTTAACTAATGGGTGATTTCTCCCAGCAGTTTCATATAGATGTGAAATAAGATAGGTGACCCAGAAACCCCACAAGTGAAAAGGCACAGACATGATCTCTCTACACAGTAACACTGACTGAAACTGATTCTTGAGGAAGGAGGTTAATCACTGTCATACGGTGACTCCTAAGCCCAACAGCCAGGGTCAGATAGTATCAAAAATTGTTTGAGAGATCAAGGAGCACCAAGATGGATGCACCCACACCTTGTCAAAAAATATTTTGAACTGATGCTTATTTAGATAAAAGATGAGAAAATAAATCTTAAGATTTATTTATATCAGTGCACTAGGATTAAGAAATAATTAATTCAAATTAGAAATTGTAACAAGAATATAATTATTAACAAACATGATTTCTCAAGTGTACGAGAAGAAAAATAGAAAGAGTTGATCCTAAAATGGGCCTCTATTCACCTAATGTGTTGTTTATGCTTTTTACTTTTCCTTTTATTATCTTGCATATGAATAAATGTTCAAGAGGCAGTAGAGACAGTGAGGATTTGATAATCCTGTTCATAAATGTCAAATATGTTCCATTCACACAATCAGGATTTAAGGCATTGTTTTCAGACAGATATTGTGGATGTTTTGATCTTAATTCTTTGTCCTGGAATCTTGTTGTAGATAGTTGCATACTCCTTAGGCTAGATGGTGATGCTAATTTGTAATTTCAGTCAGTTAAATGAAAAAATTGTTTAAAAGGTTTTATTTTAATTTTCAATGCATGCCCAGAAGATTTCCCCAGATATGTACAAACCACTATTTTATATAACATCTATTTTATTTATTGTCATATTTTCTTTCAAACTACATAGTATCAAGGTAGCTTTTAAATTCAGCTCATTCTTTGCTTGCAATTGTTTTAAAAAAGAAACTCTTGGTGTTTTCTTTATTTTTGTTTTTTAACTTCAAAAGTGCTTTGTAGTTTTTCTTAACTACCTTGACATGCTTTGAATAACTGTTGGATATAAATTATAGTGACAATAAGACTTAGGGATAATTTCAAGCAATGCAATATTATTGATTATTCATTATTAGAAAGATAACAAAAGTAGTAGATTTTCTGAATATAGTATATTTGAAAAGTTGAGAGGCTACTAAAATGATTTATAAAAGATTAGGGCAGTGGTGGCAAATCTTTATCAACAATTTGGATGAGGGGATAGATGGGGAACTCATCAAATTTGCAGACGACACCAAGCTGGTAGGAATAGCCAACACTCCAGAAGACAGGCTTAAGATACAGAAGGATCTGGACAGACTTAACACTGGGCGCTATCTAACAAAATGAAATTCAATGGTGAAAAAAGCAAGGTTCTACATTTAGCCAAGAAAAACCAAATGCACAGATATAGTATAGTAGTAACTGTGAGAGGGACCTCGGAGTCCTAGTGGACAATCACCTAAATATGAGCCAGCAGTGTGCTGCAGCTGCCAAAAAGGCCAACACAGTGCTAGGCTGCATTAACAGAGGGAAAGAATCAAGATCACGTGAAGTGTTGATACCACTTTACAATGCCTTGGTAAGGCCACACTTGGAATACTGCATCCAGTTTTGGTCACCGCGATGTAAAAAAGATGTTGAGACTCTAGAAAGAGTACAGAGAAGAGCAACAAAGATGATTAGGGGACTGGAGGCTAAAGCATATAAGGAACAACTGCTGGAATTGGGTATGTCTAGTTTAATGAAGAGAAGGATGAGACGGGACATGATAGTAGTGTTCCAATATCTCAGGGGCTGCCACAAAGAAGAGGGTGTCAAGCTATTTTCCAAGGCGCCTGAAGACAGGACAAGAAGCAACGGGTGGAAACTAATCAAGGAGAGAAGCAACCTAGAACTAAGGAGAAACTTCCTGACAGTTAGAACAATTAACCAGTGGAACAACCTGCCTCCAGAAGCGGTGAATGCTCCAACACTGGAGGTTTTTAAGAAGAGACTGAACAGCCATTTGTCCGAAATGGTATAGGGTTTCCTGCCTGAGCAGGGGGTTGGACTAGATGACCTCCAAGGTCCCTTCCAACTTTACTATTATTATTATTAAACCTATGGCACGCGTGCCAGAGGCGGCACTCGGAGCCCTGTCTGTGGGCACACGTGCCGTTGCCCCAGCCTTGCCTCTTTCTGTGATCCCCTCCTCACCAGAAGCCCCCCTGGAGGAGAGTCGCCCCTGAGCATGGCCCACACGGAGCAGTGCAGCCAAGGACATGGCAGCCAGGCAGCGTAGACAAGACTCTGCCCTCACACCCCATCACGCACAGTTGATGCTGCGTTGTGCGGGCAGAGGGCATGGCCGCAATGGTGCTGCTGGGCTGCCTGGGCGATCTGCGGCAGGCCCTGGAGGTGGTGAGTGGCCCTGCAGGCAGGCGGGGTGGGTGGGTGCGGGGCAGTGGGTGGAGCGGGGGCAGGGCCAGTTTTTGGGCACTCGGTCTCTAAAAGGTTCGCCATCACTGGATTAGGGTGTGCATTTTTATTGCAAGTCAAGTACATTATTGCTGCTAGTTACAAACATCATCTCAGAACTTTCAAATAATTCTTTGTTTGCCGTAGAACAAATTGCCCACTAACCAAAGACTTCCTGTATATATAATCACCATTCCATTTTTTCCATTTTTTTTTCAAAAGCGGAGTAATAGTAAAGAATAAGATGCAGTTGTTTCTTGCTATTCTAAAATGTTGTTTTCATCAAGATTTTATCAAAGAAGATTCATCAAAGAAGTTTCCTAAACATTAAGAAATTTTTCTACCTTTCCTAAATATTTTCTTAAAACAACCATTCTGTTCTAAAAACAAATTACAAAGTTATTGTTTGCTTCTGATTTAGTAAATGAGAGTTCTCTCTGCACCTGAAGTTTCAGACCCAGAGTATACGTCTGTCAGACCTGCACAGAAAAGCTCAGTTATGGAGAGGAATAGTCAGTATCGTTTTAATTGAAGGTCATGGACTCAAAGCCATGGACTCAAATGGGCTGAGTGATCCATATGTGAAATTTCGGCTGGGACACCAAAAGTACAAGAGTAAGGTAACTTTTGACTTTCTTAAACTATTTATTCGAGACTGTGGTAGAATTTTTTAAATGTAACTTCAGCACTTTTTTTGTTGAAATTGCTATTTGACTATTATGGTTCATCGCAGACTGGATTTGGCATTTTTATCCACCTATTGAGTCCTTCCTAAGGACCTGGGATAGACAGATATGGATATTTGATGGTGTTACAGATATTGTCACAGGATGTAAGCTGTTCTGAGTAAGGCCACCTTTTGCAATTGACTGATGGTGATTTTGTCAATGTCAAACGTGTTCAAGTGGTGATCCGTTGTTTTGGAATTGCACTCAAGGCACCTGTTGCTATAGATACTACCTTTTTTGCCAGTCGTTGTATTTCTATTTGCAGGTCTTGATTATTATTATATTATTATACTACTGCAATAGTGAAGTGTTGATTAACCTTAATACTATGCAATGTTGGAACTTTAGATTTAAAGCTAGTGACTTACTAAATCAAATCTCCAAATACAATTATATAATTTTAGACCTCAGCTTAATCAGATACTTGAGCATTAGGCTATATTCCACAAAATACAGATAAATGTTGGGTTCTGCAACAAGAAGTACAGGAAAGTTGTTGAAGAAATGGAAAAAGTGCAGAGGAGAACACCAACAATGATATAAGGTTGGATAGTAAACCTTGTGAAGAATGATTAAAACAGGGGTGTCAAACTGCCGGCCCGCAGGCCGGATGTGTCATGCCAAAACTGCGTCCACCCCACCGCTGGCAATGGAAAAAAAGTTGTGATATGTTGTGATACGTCACGTGACGTTGCGAGTTTGACACCCCCGGATTAAAATAACTAGATATGTTCGGATTTTAGAACATAAAGCTAAAAGGAGACCTAATGGTAGTCTTCTAATATTTAAAAGGCCATCACAGACAAAAGCATGTGGATTTGCTCTCTGTAAATGTGAAGGTAGGATAACAATCAAATAGGTGGAAGCTTTACAGAGAGAAATCCAAATTCAAAGAGGAATTTGTTAATAAACAGTTAATAAACACTGAAACATCTTGCCCTCCAGAATAATGGGTACTCTGTCATTACAGATCTTCAAACGAACATTGGATAATTTTTGGAATGGCCTTAAGATTTCTGCTTTGGGAAGGGGATGGGGCTAGAAGACCTCAAAGATTAATCCCATGATTTGTATGAGTCCATGTTCTTTTAATTTGAAAAAGAATATAGATAGTTCTCTATTTACAACCACAATGGGGTCCAGAATCTCAGTTTTGAGCAAAGTGATAATTAAAGGAGACACCATGTGACTGCTTCACTCAATAGTAGCAATCCTAGATCTTCCAGTTGCAGTCATTAAGCAGCCACATAGGTCATTAAGCAGAGCACCAGGAAGAGGGTCTGGGCCTCCCAGGCATGGTGAGGCATAGAGAGGACCTGGCCCTCCCATTCTACTGGGGAGTCCTGGGCCCTCTCCCCACCCACCAAGGAGAACAGTTGTGAGAATGATGGTATTTGCAAGCTTTTTTGCTAGATTTGGAAATCCCTTAATGCCCTGGCGAAGCAGATCTCAAATCTGGTGAAAATACTATAAATGTCAGTGTTCTGGAAAATTCACTAGTATTTTCCCAAGATTTGAGGACTGTTCCTCCAGCATGCGGGAGGATTTTTACTTCCCTGCATAGAGGGGAGAGGAAATTCCTTGGTGTGCTGAGTAAATAAAATTCAAACTCCAACATCCCCCTCTACTTTCAACCTACTCTGCTGTTTTCCCCATTAACTTTCTGGGGAAGGCAACAGAGAAATTGCAAATTGTGACCACATGATTGCAGAGCACTTGGCAACTGGTCATAAATGCAAACAGGTTGCCAATGTTTCAAAATGAGGTCATGTGACAGGGTCTGAACTGTGTTCCTGTCTCAGATACTATTTTGGTCAGAAATAAAACTCTTACGCAATAAATTAAATGATACATTTTATGTAGTTTTTGAGAATTGAATGAGGAATGTCCTATTTTATTTTTTATGTAATGTTTTTTTTTAATAATTCAGCTCTTTTTATTATAGGTTTTTTAAAGGAAAAAATACCGAGAAAAGAAATTAATTTTTTATGAATGTCAGATTGAAAAAGGTGTAACATCTGTTTCATCTTTCTGTGTCTCTAAGCAAGAAAAAGTTAATCTATTTTAAGAGTTTGAAGGAGAAACAAACTAGAAACTCAGTATATCAGTTCTTTTGTGATGTAAAAGGCGAATGTGCTAAAGCAATAAATAATATGCCTTGTTACAATTTTCATACTTTTTTGTGTGTTTCGAGAAAATTTTAACATGTTTTTCAGTGACCATTTTAATAAATGTGGACAAATGTTATATTTCCTGCTATCCAGAAGAGAAATAATATTTAAACCCAAAACTAAGTAAGTAAATAGATACCTGTTAAAATAATCAAAATAATATTTTTCTTGGAGATAAAAGGTATCTTTTTTTCCTCTAGATAATGTCAAAAACCTTGAATCCCAGGTGGAGGGAACAATTTGACTTACATCTTTATGAGGAACGAGGTGGAATTATTGATATTACAGTATGGGACAGAGATGCTGGCAAAAAGGATGATTTTATTGGCAGGTTTGTCTACAAATAACTTATAGTATGAGAATGAGCTTTGAAGAAGAGAACATATAATTTTGAATTGCTTGAAGTAATTTGTTTTGTATTTAAAAGAAGAAATAACATTTAGAAATTGCCTAATTCTGTAGGGAAATAGTTTTTGTAAATTTGATGGAAGATCTTATTAGTTAAAAATCATCCCTTTTCAAAATTATATTTCAAAAGAATTATGTTGCAAGATTAGGGTTCTGTTGGTAATATTTGATGATTAACTCAGTTATTGGCTATACAGTACTTTCTATCTATCTGACATATATATTACATTGGAAGTTGGAATATGATCTTTGAAATAATATGGGCAACTATAGGTTTTAAATAAGTAGATAGCAATAACAATAGCACTTAGACTTACATACTGCCCCATAGTGCTTTATAGGACTCTCTGGGCAGTTTACAATGGCAGCATATTTTTCCCAACAATCTGGGTCTTCATTTTACTGACCTTGGAAGGATAGAAGGGTGAGTCAGCCTTGAGCCCCATCAGGATCAAACTCCAGGCTGTGGGCAGTTTGCCTGCAATACTGCATTCTAACCACTGCACCATCAGGGCTCCTCAGATAGATGTAGTTCTTGAAGGAAGTCTATCTGTTTGGTTTTTTTTTATTCCTAACAACTTTTAAAATTAAATTGGAGGTAGTAGTTCTTGAATTGCTTGAATCAGCTTAATGCCTCAAGGGCTTTGCCTGACTTTGTTATCTGTGTTTCATGCTTAGGTTAGGGCTTTGCCTATTAACAGTTCATTATCAGCAAGAAATTTGCCACACAGGAATTGTAAATAATGTGCAAAGATAGGTCTATTTTTACACTCACCTCCATGTCCAGATTATAATGTTCATATGATATTGATTTCTGGAGCACAAAATCTGCTTATCCTTTTCCTTTCTGACTTATTAGGTGCTAGTTGGGAAATGCTTCTAAAATTCTATCTCTTTCCCCACCTCTTCTTATGGCTGGAATGATCCATCTCCATAGATGGAGGTATATCATTATAAATTGTGATTCTAGAAAAAAGTGTGGAATGTGTAGCCAAACATTATGTGTTGACTCTGAACCAGTGTTTCTCAACCTTGACAATTTTAAGGCATGTGGACTTCAACTCCCAGAATTCCACAGCCAGCAATGCTGGCTGTGGAATTCTGGGAGTTGAAGTCCACATGCCTTAAAATTGTCAAGGTTGAGAAACACTGCTGAGTCTGAACCAAGGTTGGATAGATTTCAGTTACATCTCTGGTTAAATGCCAATATTACATATGTTGAAATCTGACCGATAAGACTTTTAATCTCCCTGTTTCCCTCCCAAATCAAGATTCTCCCCCCCCCCCACTATCTAAAGTAGTTTTTAGAGCATGCGATCAGAGGCTGTAGTGAAAAGGGGAACTTCATTCTTTGCTGCTCAGTCAACAAAAGGAGTTCGGTCAGCATTAACAATATATTGGATTCCCTGCTGATGAATTTTTAAAAGTTATACAAGGAAGTTAAAAGTACATTTCATTTCTAGTACTCTGTTTTCTAGCATTTCAACTTCATAGGCAGGAATATGATACTCTAAAATATCTGTTTTGCTGAATGACAAAATAGATGAATTTGAAGATTTCATCCTGAAAACAAGAAGTAAATATCATATGGTTCATTTATTGTAACTGAGTTCACGGTATTTCATAGCGTTGTTGTAAACATAATGACATGTTAATCAAAATGTTTGTTTCTAGGTGCCAGATTGACCTGTCAACTCTAAGCAAAGAGCACACTCATAAGCTAGAGCTGCCTCTGGAAGAAGGCGAAGGGCATCTGGTACTGCTGGTTACATTGACTGCTTCAGCCGCGGTCACCATCTCTGAGCTCTCAATGAATGCCTTGGAAGACCCAAAGGAACAGAAAGAAATCCTAAAAAGATATGTATGCAGCATCTTTTTCTTACTCTTTTTTGCATAAGACTACAGTGATAAACAGTGAAATGTAAAAGGAAAACTTACCTACTTACTTACTTACTTTTTTACTTGCGTACTTACATACTCACTTACTTACTTATATGCTGCCATAATAGTCCAGCTCCCAGTAGCTAACAGTAAAACTATACAATACAGTTTTACCAAATGGTAAAAAAAGGAGATGAGATCCTTCAGGTCACAACTTCTACCACTTACAGTACTCTGGTGTCCAAAAGAGCCCACAAGTCAGAGTTCTTCTAGATAACCACCCCACCCCACCCCAAGAGAAACGTTATGGTTAAGAAAGCAACATAATATGTACTAACAATTGTTGAAGTCACTTTTCTTAGAATGTCAGTTTAGTATGGCAGCCATAGTTGTCTCTTCTTCCCATCAGCCTGTTGCTCACTCTATTAGGACTATATATAGTAACTCATCTGTACTAACTCTTGTGGGTAGCTTTCTCTAGTTTATGGTGATAAAGGTTATTTTTAATAAATAAATATAATTTAACTTGATTTTATTTTTTCACTGAAATGTTAACTTCTTGTTATAATTAAGACATTTCCTTACTGAACATTGCCAACAAATAATGTCCTTAAGTAGCTGAGGGATTGAATTTTATATATGGATCAACTTTGCCGTTATTTAAAACAAAGTCTTTCCTTCAGGGATTTGTTCTATTAGAATCAGATGTTTTTAGTAGTTTAGAAATCTAACATAAAAATATAATAAGGATACTGAATGTTTAAAATCTGGATTGAACGTTTTGAAAAATATCCTGTCCTTGTATCATAGAAACAATTGTGTAGTTTTAGTAAAGGAACAGCAAGGGGAGCTCTTACTCCAGCTTTTATTAATATTGGGTTCACTAAAACTGACTTACTAAACACAAAGAAGAAAGAAGAAAAGCTATCTCCCCTAAAATTACAAAGCTTTTATTGTATAGGTTTGCCAGGTGTTTAAAAGTTATCTCTAGACACTGTGCATTAAGCTAAACTCTGACTAACAGAGGGCTGTTTAATTTATTTTTTTTTTGTTTTGAAATATTCCTATTCTATGGATGACATCCTCTCAATAAGTGAATTTAATAAAGATGTACCTTATCAGGCTGTGCAGATAATATGAAGTGCTAGTACTATTGCTGTACAATATTCTTCAAACAGATTAGCAGGATGTGTGCTTCAGCAAATTTATTTTACCTATCTCCACTGAATCAGCTGCCTGCAAGTACTTGTACACATCATACACCAATAGAATTATCATAAACACAATTTAATAGAGGTGACTTAGCCAGGCTAACCATTATATTTTTAAAATCAAGTAAGAACTAAGAAATGTACTAAACAATCTAAAAATGGTAATGGTAATGATTACCAGTATTATTTCAGATTTTTAATCAACTAAGGCAAGCTGATCTGTCAGACTATCTTGGGAGATAAATGCATTTCTCAGATATTAATTTAGTGAAATATGCATTTTGGTCTCTAGTATATCAGAAAAATGTGAAGCAAAGGATGTTCATTGTGATTATCTTATAATAATAAGAAAATAGCCAGTAAAACACAACTCTTGGACCTACATCTCTTTTCCCCCAATTTTTATTAGTTTAAGCAAATTTTAATAGAGAATAGAAACATCAATTTTTTAAAAAGTATGACATTGAAAAACTATCTGATTATCAATATGTTTATTTTAGATATTACATTGTTTACTTATAAGCTGAATAACTTGGTTCATCAACATGAGCAATACATAGCTGCAATAATTCTGGATTCGTAGTATACAGTATATAGAAATAGCCATGTCCTACATATTTTTGTAGCAAATCTTTATCCCTACATATTTTACAGGAAATCTTCAATATTAGTGTTGTTATCCTTCACTAAATATGAAGTAAATATTATTGGATAACTGACAAATTTATGATCTTTTTACTCTAAAACTATTTATAAAGTTTTATTTTTTATTTTTTAAGTATTTAGAAGAAGGTCTTTCTATTTAAAAATGTATTTTGCACTATTTTTGAGACTGAAAAGAGTAAATGCACTGACCCTGCCATCAGATCAAATAGTCTTGGAAAATGACTCTATTACTGTCATTTAACCATTTGTAGCAGAACATCAGAGCCCTACAAATTAAAGAGGCATTACTGTTTGAACCATTTTATCACAATTGTATGAAAAGATTAATTCCTTTTGGGATGGGAGGAGGGCCGTAATGGGTAGCAGACCAAAAGAGAGATTCTATGACCTTTTCAGAAAGGGTATGCTGAACCCCTGCTCCCCCTTGTCACAGTTTAAAAACCAGAGAAGCTAGTTTAGTGAAGAAGTTGTTAGCATTCCATTTTTATTATGACATTTCACAGTCATCCGATTTAATGTCCCTTGACCGGATTGTCCACCGTGAGACGATGGGCTTGAAATGTTATTTAGAGCATTGATAAAAGGTGAGCAGTTATAAGATGACAGCGAGTCATAAGGCTGGTGGTGTGACATTAATTTTCTCCATAACAGAGATGGAATAAGACGTCATGGTGACAAGCTGTCAATCAGTGCTGGCCCCTCAGTGTATCTTGATGCCATAGGATGGGGTATTGGTTCTCCCATAATAGAGCTGAACTGAGATGCTCTCGCTGACAGCTGCTGCAGCTATACAGAAAATATATTATACAGCCTTTCATTAAAAAAATAAAGAGGACTCATCTCCAGAGCATTTCAATCTTTTCCCATCTATTGAGGGCTGAAAGGATTCACAGCAAATCATAGATTTCTGTGCTATGGAAATTTGAAGCCTCCAATACCATCTGGGTTTTGAGGCCTCCAACAGTCTTCATAAATAAGATGACTGATAATCATCTCATAAATCATTACTTTAAGTTGCATGCTTAAAGTAATGTATTAAAGTCATTTGCTTTTCACAAAATCCTACAATAATCTGCAGTATGTCATTGGCTAAGATTGTCAGAAACGCAGTAAATTGCTTTAAATCAGCTGACTAGCAAAATCTAAAAGTTCAAACTATAATTATCCCACTGGCAAATAATAGTGGGCGAAATATTGCTAGGTCTTTTTAAATGAACGGAATGTGCATATAGGTGAAAAAGTCGACTTTTGCTTTTGTTCTGTGTTAACAGGAAATGCAAGACAAATGCACTTTCAAAGCAACAAAAAAGACTTTTAATTTCACCATGCCTGCCTGCTTACCTCCCTTGTTCAACATAGCAAGGAACTGGAAAATATCTGTATTAAAATGCTAGGATTGACAAAAAGGATTCCCTAGACCAGACCTTTTTGAGAACTATAATAGTGTAAATGATAAATAGTGACAAACAGCATTTTTCTGTTGCTTTCTTTAAGAACCAGTTTTAAACCACACCAGGAAAATAAAGGGAGGGAGAGGGGGAGATTGTCTCTCTGATTAAGCAATTTTCTAATAGGCAAATATTGTGAAATTAAGAGATATAGTATTAGTGATCTTATAGAATGCTAGAGCTATCTGAATATTGATGTGCTATATAAACTACATTATCTCTCATCTGTGAAATGTATATTGTGGGCTTTTTGTCTCATTCTTATTTATAAATGTGTCTGTCTAATGCATGGTTAAGATTTCAACTTTTTTCATGCAGAAAACATTTTTGTTAAACAGAATACGATTAAGAATTTAATTTTTGCACCATAATGGAAAAGAGCATTAATTCAGACGTTGTTAAAATCCAGATTTGCTACTTTAATGGGATTTAACCTGTTAAAATGTTTAGAAATTCATTCTTTACTTGCTGTTTCCTGATTTTTTTAAAAAATACTATTTTTTAAAAGACCACTTTTATAAAATATTTTAATTATACTATATAAATTAATGATTATAGTTTTATACCATAATAATATATGAAATTTGAACACATGCTGTCTTTACACAATTAAAGCTTATAAACAAATTAAAATATGTACTATTTTATGAAGAATATGAGGAAGCTGTAGGGAATAAAGCTAAACGGTATAGAAATATATTTATGTATTTTCATGTATGCATAATTTTAGTTTTGTTACAGATAACTCATAAAAACACTCCAGTTTCTAAATTATATCTCAAGGACTTGCTAAATATCTGGTTTGTAGAATAGAAATACCTTATGACCAAGGTGTCATCATTTAATATAATTCTGGGGCACTATTCCAATTAAATAATGATTTAAAATAAACAACAAACATTAAATATCTTTTTAAATTAGACTTGTTAAATTATGTATTTGGAATAGAACTGAATGTTTTCTCTACTGAATGTCAACTAATGTTAAGGAATAAAAGTGGTATGACAGGAACCAGTGGTTTCCATGCCAATGGGGAACTAGATGAACATAGTTCAAGTGCCTTCCAAGGCTATCAAGAGATCAGTCAAATACCTGCTGACTGAGGAAAGTTGGAGAAAAAAGCCTAAAAATTAAATCCAGAATCCATACATATATAAAAACTTTGACATCTGGGTACTACAGTGGAAACATATCTATATGTTTCTTTTTGAATTCTTTCTTTTTGTCTACAATCAAACAAGCTGCCAAGTTTGTTCATGAGCCTTCTACCAAGTAAGCCAGTTCCAGAATAAAAGGTTGAATCAGGCTTAAGTGCACAGTTAGGATGTATTAGAAACATATGTAATGAAAGCCATTAGGATAACTTAGAACATTCAAGGGGGAATGGTTTCCTCATATTTTGCTTTATTTATGACTTCAGTGTAACTTCCTAAATTTTGTGTATGTTTCTAGAACCTAATGCAGATGTTTCAAAATATAAAGGATGTGGGATTTCTCCAGGTGAAGGTCATCAGAGCAGAAGGTTTGATGGCAGCTGATGTTACAGGCAAGAACTAATTCCATTTTTATGCTAATCAGTATCACTGACTAATTTTGTAACATTACACTTTACAAAACCAAAAGTATAACAAATTAAAAAACTGATTTTTTTCTAGGTTTTCTTCTATTCTTGCTTAATGATGAATTTTTTAAAAACATTTTGCAAATAAATTTGTATCTGGGCTTTTGAGAACCCAAATTCTTACTTGACAGAAAAGATGAAACAAAGCAATCACATGGCTGCCAAAATATTTTATTCTGAGAGCCTTCAATGAATTACTGTATGTACAACATAATTACATGAAATGAGTTAAATCTTTATCATGCTTCCATGTCCACATCCCTTCCTGCCTTTGGGGACCAAGCCCTCCAGGACTATATCCACTCTTTTTCTCAAAATGTCTCCTCCATTTCCCAAGCTGTCCAGGCCCTCTATCATCCGGGATTGGATCACCCTCATTCCTTCCTTCCTGGTGACTGGGTGCTCATGAAATCCTGGACTGACTCTGGTCCCCTGGCTGAACAGTGGAAAGGACCCTTCCTCGTCCTTCTCATGACCCATATGGCTGTCAAAGTTGCTGGCATTTGCACCTGGATTCATCACTCCTGTCTCAAGACCTCTGATCCTCTCGAGGACTCTGATTATCATTGGACTGTAGCCCCGATGCTTCAGTTGCATGCCAAAATACCAAAAGGGTGGCTAGTTTACCATCAGCCACTCAGTGATTCGTCATAAGCACTCTTTTTCCACCGTGTGACTTGATATACAAAAAGGCGGCTAGGAGGGTATAGCGAGGGAAGCAAAATTTGAAGTTCATAGAGGGTCAGTCTATAAGGAAGATCTTCCAGCAAATGCCACCCAGTGCAACCAGGACGTGCAAAAACCTTGGAACATGAAGGCACCACCCCACTCCAAAACAAATGGAAGGACAACAAACCGCATCTGTGTCCATTTTGGGGGGTTTGGAGTATCAACACACATATTCAGAATATCCAGACCTGGACAAAACTGTTAAATGTTATCAATTACTGGATCTGTGCACATTATCCCTGACCGGCACTCAGGGGTTGGTCATCGAAGCAGTCCTATTGGAAGCCCATGGTTACCAAATCACAAATGTTACCTGTACCAAATCACAAATGTTCGAAGATGTCTGTTCTCCATAATAAAAAACAAATTGTTGCAAAGTTAGGGGCTTGTATCCAACACTGAGCAGTGGCTTGCTTCCAACACTTTAATTCTTCCTCCAAATATAAACTTGGTATATATGCTTGGTGCGCCATCACCTGGAAAGTCAATCACACTTTATGGGAGGTGGCACATAAATGCAATCAGGCTTTTGGCATTAAGATCAGTGAGGATCATAATCCATTGGTCCTGTGCAACTTGTATGAGGCAATATCAGCCTGGGGTCATATGGACCACTACGATGGCTCCGTCAAATGAGGGATACTTCATAGTAAGTCATCCCAATTAGTGGTTCTTATGTGGACAGTTTGCTTATAAATTATCTATTGGTTTTCTGGTTTGGGACATGCACTGTGGGAGTGATTTTTCCCTCAGATAGGATCATATAGCACCATGACTGGAATTTCTGCATCTGCAATAAATGTGATGTGGATCACATTGAGGACCATCCCATAGCATAGATTTTGGGAAATGTTTTTGGCAGAGCTCTACTTCCAATGCTTAGAGTAGGTTTGAATTATGAATCCATTTTAGAATTAGGGAATTGGACAAAACTCAGGTACAACCACACAGTTTAGGCATTACTCCACCTGAATAAGAAGCAAGGGGGAATTATAGAAGTAGTGATGCAAACTTACTAGGCCTTGGATGTTGTCCTTGCTGCCAAGTGAGGTGTCTGTACATTAATTCACTCCCATTGTTACAATTGCATCTCAAATTATCAGCATAAATAGTATAAACCACACCATCTATCTCATGAAAAAGGAGATCCAGAACAGACCCAAGGATGCTGATACTGGCCTCTTCTCTGCACTATCCTCTTAGCTTACTAGTTGGCTATCTGGCTGGGGTTGGTTCCTGGAGATTTTTTTGGTTATTCTTTTTGTCAACTTCCTGACATTCTTCTGCTGTTGCATACATTGTCTTCCTCTGATCAAGTCTGCCTGCCCTAACACCTGTCCCATTAGACATCAGAAGTGTGACTCATATGCTGTCTCTGCTTATCCTGTCTTTGCTAATCATACTTCTACATGCTGCTCAAAATATGAAAGGGGGATTATATTGATCAGAATTCTTATAACTATAATGATTGGTTAAAATGTTCTTGTGTTGAAATGGTAGAAATAAGGTTTAGGCCTTAGCAGGCCCTTGGCATTGTGGAAAATTCCATAAGAAACCACAAGCGTGTGAGCTAAGACACATGCATTTTTCTAACTGCTGTACCTTATCTACTGTATGCCCGCTTCCTATTATATCAGGGGTCCCCAACCCCCAGTCCATGGACTGACATTGGTCTGCAGCATGCCAGCAACTGGGCCACGCAACCAAGTGAAGTCCTATCTGCGGGATGCAGGCAGCATGCAAAATCATGCCCCTCCGGTCCATGGAAAAACCTTTCTCCATGGAACCAGTTCCTGGTGCCCAAAAGGTTGGGAGCTGCTGTGTTATATAACTAACAGGAAGCCAGCAAGAAATAAGAAATCTATATATACTTGCTTCAAACTACCTTCAGGGTTTTCCCAAACTTATGGGAGGACCTGTCTTTATTCAGCTGAATAAACACATATTTTTAAAGAGAGATAACCTGGACTCTGTCTCTTTGGTTGCATCAAGACACACCTGATTTCTGCTTGACAACACCATGCTAGCTGTAGGTATGAGGGCTGGTTGTAACTACTACTCATTTGGCACTGTCATAAGTTGAACTGTTGCTGAATGAATGTTTCTTAAACAAGAACCACCTTTAAACTATTTTCATAATACTTTTGGATATGTGTATGCATGTATGCCTTAAAGTCAGCTTTGACTTCTTGTGATCTCCTGGACAGGTTCCTGCAGGTTTCTTAGCAATGTTTTTGGAAATGGTTTACCATTGCCTCCTTCCTAGTCATGAGAGAGTGAATGACTGGTCCAAGATCAGCCAGATGGCTTTGTATCTAAGGTGGGACTAGAACTCACAGTCTCCTGGTTTCTAGCATGTTGCCTTAACCAAAACACCAGACTGACTCTTTTTCCTAAGACTGGGCCTGGTGAAGTTCTGGACCTCAGATCACCACAGAGATTATCAGTTAAGGAATCTTGTAGATGGTTTACAGCTAATTTCTGTAGACTTGCAGGGATGGTCAATTTCCCTCTAATTTTGAGTTGGGATTCACTGGTAAAAAAAGAACCCCCAATTCTCTCCAGAACATTGCTCTGCACATATGTATGAAATGATTTGGGCCTTCAACTTTTACCAAAATATGAAGAGCACTCCTTTTCCACCAAGTATTGCCCTAAGCAATCATACTCAGGTTGTAGTGATTATTAGTTCACTGATATTATACACACAAACACATATATAGAGCCTAATGTAAGAAAATAGCAAAGTAAAAATTATTCCAATCTTTAATCTAGTCTCTGAAATAATTAAAATATTTGTAGAACATAACTATTACAACTTTTCTCATGATCTAAAGAAAAACCTAGTGATCTAGAACAGTAGTTTTCAGTTACTGTGCCATGGTACATTTGTGTACTGAGAAAAATCCACAGGTGTGCTGCATTGGTGAGCCATAAGTGAATGATGAAAACCCCTTCTTCAGGGCTAAAGTGTCTTCATTTCTTCTCCCCAGTCCCTGTGAAGTTGCAAGATCTTTAGTTTCATGAACCAGATTTGAGAAGTTAGCACTTTTTCAGTGTGCCATAGAATGAAAAAGGCTGAAAATCACTGATTTAGAAGGAAAATGTGTTTAATGGCTGAGGGAATTCATTGAGACATTTTTTCACTCTGATCTGTTCTCAATCTGGTTTGAAAATTTTTAGAAAAAGTATTTGGGTCTTTCAGACAGTTTTCAGACTTTCCAGAAATTAATTGTTTGTGAAATGATATCTATGCTTGTCATGTAAAGTTCAACAGAAAGAGAAAACAATGTTTCATGATAAAATATTTTTGATTTTTCATATATTGTTTTATATCCCACAAGGCTTCTTGTAATTGATAAATGTTGCTGGTCATTTTTATTGTTAGATTGCTTTCTGTATTTACATCTCTAAGCTTTGAATCTAATATTTATAATATCTTAGTTCATGTCTCAGCTGGTAGGAGCACCTGGTTGACTTATTCTCTGTTGGAGAATTAAACAAGGTCAGATCTGGTTTTTACATGGTTGGGAAACTCCCATGGAAAACCAGATTAATAGACAAAGCTACAGTGTTAAAAAAAAATCATTCCTGAAATCCCAAGAGTCAATCCTGACTCAAAGGAGAGTTTACTTTTTATTCCTATTGACACTATCAGTGAAAGAGACTGGTATAAATGTAATTCGTAGACATGAATGCACAAATACTGTGCTATAATAGTAAAAAGATTTGTATGTGTGTGTATGCCTATCATTATATGACCACATAAATTATACTAAGACCTACTGATAATCAGCAAGTCTTATTCTGAATTAACCATGTTTAGTATTGCTATAAGATATATTTATATTTGATTTTTTTTGTTACTCTTATTATATACTATTAATTGGTAGCTATTATTAACATTTCAAAGGAAGTTATTCATGACTTCCAGTATTCCATTCCAGTATCGACATAACAGTAATACTGGAGTAATGATGCACTTTATGGAAACTTCCTGATTCTTTTTACTATAATAATGTAGCATAGCTTGTATGACTAACATGCCCAAAATAAAGTTCTATCCCTTAAATATTTTCAGACATATTTTTAGACATGGCACCATCATGTAATAAAAATTGTGTAATCTTTCAGTAAAAGCAATTCTATAGGACCTTTCTCTTTGATTTTATTAATAATAACATTTATTCCCTTCC